ACACTGTGTCAATAATTAAGATGAGTTTATTTACAATTAATGGGCTAACAGCTCTGCAGAGGTATTTTGGGCATAAAAGCTTCTTTAGAGCATTTCTAAGTCCCACTTTTTGAAAGTGTTTAGTTGGGTTCTAACTGGGTCCTGCTGTTTTTGTTTTTGTTTTTGTTTTTGTTTTTGGACATTGTTATGAGTGCAGAATGATTGGTTGTGGGCACTGACTTCTTTGAGGTGAACAGTGAGAAGAGGTGTATAGGTGCAAGTCATTGTGTTGGTTGGTGACCATGTGTCCTTTATAAAAAAAAAAAAGACAGTATTACACATGCTCTAAAGAAGATTTTAGGCTGACACGCCTCCACAGAGCTGTTAGTGCACTGATTGTAAATAAGCTCATCTTAATTATTGACTGATGCTGCTTTGACTATGGAGTCCTGTCTTTTTTCCTGACTTTATTTATGGAGAAAATATAAGACAAAGAGCACAGTCTGCAATTCTTAATGAGCTTTGCTAATAGTCAGGATTAACTGGCCCCAGACGTGGTCACAGCCTGGATACTTAATTGGAGGTAAATCCACTGAGTTTAGTTAATCCCTCAGAGTGGCTGGAGACTATCCACAACCCCTTCAAGGTTTGGGGTTTGGGCAGTGTCACTGTTTCATTTTGTTACTATATACAGGATGTATTTTTCTCCTGTTGTCAGTGTCCATAGCATAGCATATAGGTACAGCCTTGTTCCAACATGTGCTAACAGATGGGAAGTAATGTGAAAACTTAAAGCTGCATTAATAGATTTTTGAGCCACTTGGGAGCAGCAGAACAAGCTGTAAACACAGATTGTTTGATATATTATCATGTTCCTTGTTTACTAGAGTATTTAGTGGACACAACATTAGCATGTTCATCAGCCAGCCTCTCTAACTTTCACTGAACAGCCAAAATCTGTCATTTGTTAAAAATGTTCAGTATCTTTAAGGTTAGCTACCAGCTACTAATGTAGTATGTACCCACAGCCGTCAGAAAGATAAATGACAATAAACCATATATAAAGCAATGGTCAAGAGGAAGCATGTAGGCCCACTGTAAATATGCTTCAAATGAACTAGAGAGGTGTGGTCAGACCACAAGTGTGGGTGAGGCAAAAGCCTGCCACCTATGGCCTCCACCTGGCTAGCTCCCACACACTGTGTGATGTGGGTTTGAATATTTGTCTCAGAAAGTTACCATAGTAAATGGACTGTAGATTATAATGTGTAAAAGTTCAAGAATGACCCCATACATGACTTCAGCCTTCTAAAAACCTTCCTGAAAGCATTAGATTCTGCCTCTGAGTGAACCAGATAGCTTCTGTGAAGGGACTGAGCTCTTTCCTTAACAGTGCTGATAAGTGTCATCACATCACCCAGCAGTGCGACATCTCGGGTGTGAAGAGTCTTCATTGTTGATGCAACCGATGCATGTCACTCTCTGTGTGCTAGCTGATTCCATATTGTGTGTACGTGTGTTTGTCTTATTGGTCAGGCTGCATAAAGACATCTGCCAAGCGGAGCTATGAATAATGAGCGGGAGCTGTCAGACATGACAAGCTGATCTAGACAGCTTAATCCGGCAGACATGACAGGCTGATGCTGCTCACCCTGCCTCTCCCTCTTCCTCTGTGCATTAATTCTGTCCTCCCATTGAGTGTCAGACTGACAGGAGTGTCTTCAGGCAGATGACAGACATGGCCCACAAAACATTTCCACATCTTATCAGATTTACTGCTTTCAGTTCAACCATACTCTGTGAACAAAAAATATCTTTTCTGGGTTGTTCATTTAGGCCACATTTTTAGATATTAATTTTAGATTGTACATTTATTCTACCAGTGTACAGTTCTTTGAGTTCATAAAAATCCTGTACGTATCGACAGTATGTATGTGTATGTACATACTGTATGTATGTATGACAGAAACAAACAACATGGCGCCCACCAAAGCGGACGTGTTTGCCTGCTCCACTCTTGAATGCCGTTTTTTTTTCGTTTTCTTCTTTTTTGTGTGTTTTTTGCTTTTTCTGCAGTGCACAAATGTCATGCACTGCTTACATACAACAAACAGGCATTGCTGGATATTGCCAACTCACAAAACCACTGGGAATTTACTGGTTTCATACCACCGGAGCTACAACTCATTGTTCACTCTGGCGACAATAACAACAATGGCGAGGAAAGCCACCATCGCCCGCGGGGAGCCTCCGGAGTATCAGGCACAAGCGAGCAGGCTGAAATCAGGAGAGCAACCCGGAGAAGGAAACGGAGAAGACAAGGAGGACTCAATGCTAGGCTAAAAGCTCGCGCTATCCAACTGCCATTACCCAGCCTCTTCCTTGCTAACGTA